TCATGACAGTAGATGGCTGTCTCTCATAAGGTGGCTGAACCTGACCACGGGGCTTTTCAATCCTGGTCCCTTCCCATAGGAGACAGTGTCCTCCAACCCTGCCCATGGAGCTTCTTAACCATTTGCCTCCAAAGTGGCCAGGTCACAAAAAGAAAGACTCGGCTCCTGGGATAGGTCGGCCTGTATCACAAAATCAGCTGTGAGATTATGACAATTGAAATGGCCAGCTAGTTTAATTTTATTTAACTGTTTAAAGTACATCTGTTTAAAAAAAAAAAAAAAAAAAGCTAGCTAGGTTGACCTTCGGCAAATCATTGCAACAAAACCTGGGTTTGAAGTTCAGCTCTGACATGTACAAGTGGTGCAACACTAATTCAATCAACAAACCTCTCTGAGCCACAGTTTCCCCAATTGTAAATGATAAGTAATAGTAATGTCCAACAAGACCATGAGTGTATAGTGTCAGACAAAATCAGTATAAACATGTAGATTTAGACATATATGTGGATACATATGTCTGTATCGTATATGTGGATACAGACATATATGAGAATAAGATGGATGTGTGGGTACTTGGCCCCACCCTGTGCCCTGTGTGCATACCCTCAGGGGTGCCCTGTTCTCAAGCCTAGGGTGTTTGACAGTTTGGTGTGATGACACTCACTGATCTCCAAATCCTGGTTTAAAGCAAGCTTCTGTTCGATTATCAGATTCTTGGAGACACGTGTTTTAGATTAACCTATGTCGAGTGTATGCACCAAATTCTGAAATATCTTTGGTAAAAGGCAAGGAAATTTATATCTACAGATCATCTAAAAATTTCCTTAACTTCTGGTTTCAAACTCTTGCCCCTCCCTCATCTTCTCCCCCTTTGCCAACGAGCCAAGCACTGGTCTCCTAGCTCCTGGTCTCCACCCGCCCTGCCCACTCAGTGCTAACAAGCAACGACTGCCCAGTGGACAGAGGGACTGGGACTCCATCGTCCTCAGAGTGGATTACGGTCCCACAAACATCCCAACACCACTGGCCTTGGCAGAGGCGGCAGCAAGGTTGGCATGGGCCCCTGAGCCAAACGTGGCTCAGCTGAGGGGGAAGGCTTTGTGCCCCGCTTCCCAAGAGGACGTTCCAGGAAGGAGTCAGATGATGTGAGTTATGGAAACCAAATGGCCCTCCTTTGTTTAGAGAGAGAGAAAAAAAGTCACTCATTTTTGTGGTAAAGTGAAAACAGGCTCCAAACCAAACAGTCCCTCTCAGAACAGAAAATGCCAGCTCCCCAGAGCAGGCCCATGGCCGCAGAGGCTGATAAACTGATGGAAGGCAGTGTCGGGCCTGTGTGATAGCCTCCGTGATGTGTCCTCAGTCCTCCCAGTGAAGTTTTCCTCTGCTTTGCTCCAGAAATATTTGGTCTCTCAGGCAGGAAAGGAAAATGAAGGGAAGGAAAAGAGAAATGTCTAAGTGACCTAGGCCAATCTTGTCCTCTCGCTCCTTTCCAGTTGGGACAGAGGGCCGGGCAGGAGCTTTGCAGAGAAGAACCTAGAGGGTGCATGGGCACTAACAGCCACGTGAGCCGGCCGGGCCCTGGAGTCTCCCTCACGTAGCTGCAGGGCACTGTCTCTGACTGGGATGTCCCCTTCGAGCTGACCAGCACTTCCCACAGAACGCAGCCAAGAGTCACAAGGCCTCCTGTGGCTACTCTGTGGCTGCCCCGTGGCTCTGTGGGCTGACTCCTTGGGCAGGCGTCTGCACTCCCAGGTGTTGCTAGCACATGTACAGCAGGATGAGCCATGGGCAAGAGAAAATGCATACAGTTTCTAGTCAGCCACGCCTATCCTGAGTTCAGTTTATTCTCTAACACAAGCCTTTCCCGGAATAGAGATGCTCTTGGCAAGGGAGGAATAATGGAGAATTCAGTGCTGGTCCTGGCTTTGCCTCTCATTTGCTGTGCAACTGTGGGTCATTGTTGCCTCCCTGAGCCTCCATTTTGCTTCTGGAAAATGAGCCCAATGCCCTTGCCTTGCCTCAAGTCACAGGGTTGTTATAGAAGGAAGGAAAGCATGATTCTTAGCAAGAGGGGGCAGCCAGACTGGCTGGGTGTGGATCCAAGCTCCCCTGTGTAATGTTGGGCAAGTTTCTTCACCTCTCTAGTCTCTTCCCCACCTTTAAAATGAAGGGAGTAATATCCTTCCCTGGTAGCATCACTAGCAGGTTAAATACAATGATGTGGTTTATGCCAATCGCACAAAGAGCACCGACCCACAGCGTGCCCTGGGTTGAGTCTTGCCGACGTGATCATCACCATAGGCTGGGAAGTACCTTGAAAATAAAAACACTCAGCTTGAGCATTGGGGTGATCCGCCAATGTCATCATAAGCTTCCTAGTCTCATTCAACACACCTCCACCATTCCAGCAATGGTCCATGATTAGCGAATGTGAATTCTATGTATGAGGAGGGACCTTCAATACTTCTTATTGTTTTTAGGAAAAATCCCCAAAGCCCCACCATGGCCTACAAGGCCTCGGTCATCTGGTCCTGCTGCCTTTTCTAGTAGCCTCATCGTGAGCCCCTGTCTCACTGAAATTCACCAGCCTCATGGGCCTTCCTTTAGCTCTCAAAAAGCTCCGGGCTCCTTCCTGCCCCAGGATCTTTGCACGGCCGCTTGTCCCACTCCATGTCCTCTTTGCCTGACCACAGGTCTCAGCTTATATGGCCTTTCCTCTAGGAAGCAGTTCCTGACCTTCCTTCTCTTTCTTTCTTTGTGCTCACCACGATTATAGTTAAATGGCAACATTCGTCATCTCCAGCATGTCAGCTGCTTGAGTGAGGTGGTTTCATCTGTTTTGTTCATTGCAAAGCCTAGCACCATGCCGGACACATGGAAGACATTCAAAAGAATAGATTTTTTAATAAAAAATGGGAGTGCTTAACAATGTCTCCCCTGCAGCTCCTATAAAATCCATGAAATCAGAGACCATATTTCTGTTCTCAAAGCCTGTCTCTCTAGCTTATAGAAGACCTTTAATAAATATTTGTTGAATGAATGATGAATGAATGAATGACTTGGAATAACCTCCCTAACTTTTCACCACTCCAAGACCTCCCTGCACATCAGAGTCTCTTCCATCCATCATCTCCTTCCATGGAGATGCCATACTTAGCACTCAGACATGTCCTCTAACCACCATCCCAGGTGGCTCTGCTCCTACAATCCAGCCACAGAGGGCACCAGACTTCCTAATCCCCATTCAGGCAAGTGTTTAGTGTCAGCCACAGTCCAATGTCATTAAGAGACATCAGTTTCATAACAAATGTGCACAGCACAATACCATCCTTCAATTATATGCATATTCCTTTCTGTCTTCTAGGGCAAGGCTTTGTAGTCACAGCTTGGTTAAAGGGGCTCATTATTCAGCTTCCTATCACTGGCAGGTCCTACTGCAATGTTTTGTACAGAGCACGCACCCTTAAATGTTGCATTGTGAAGGCATGAATACTGTATACTGACTACAGTTAGTAACTTCTCAGAATCTTGGACACAATGAAGTTTTTAAAGAGCTCGAGATGAAAACTTTCTCAGCTTTCCCCAGTCACCCAGAGAACTTCCCACCTCCCAAGTCCCCCCATTTTCATCCATCTTTCACAGTTACATATGCTGAAACTTCCAAAATCATCCCTTCAAGTTTTTTCCCCCCGAAACCTCCAAAATTCTTTTCATTCATCTATGTCCAATTTCCTAAGTTCTCACACAAAGAATTTAGACCAAACTTCTTCCTATACTGATCTTTTCAAATCCTACTTACCTCCTACTCTACAATATATCTTCTGTTTGCTCTGCCTTTGCTTATGCAATTCCTCCCACCAGAATGTGTATTCCTATCTCTCCGTCAAAGCACATCTCAAGTTTTGTGGTCCCTGTCAACTTACCTCACCACCCGCCTGAAGGGAGCTGTCTTCTGAAGCCAAATAATATTTTGGCCTAGCTACTTCTTGTATGTGTCAGCAAGCTTTTTCTTCTTAAAAAAATTGAGATATAATTGACAAAAAGCATTATATTAGTTTCAGACATACAACCTAGTGATTCAGTATTTGTATAGAAGGCAAAATGATCACCACAATAAATCTAGTTAACATCCATCACCATACAGAATTACAAATTCTTTTCTTGGGATGAGAACTTCTAAAATTTACTCTCTTAACAACTTTCAAATATGCAATATGGTATTATCAACTATAGTCACCACACTGTACATGATATCCTCATGTCTTATTTGGTAACTGGAAGCTTGTACCTTTTGGCCACCTTTACCCATTTTGCCCAACCGCCTGGCAACCACAAATCTGTTCTCTGTATCTATGAGTTCATTTCTTTTTTCTTTTTTAGAGTCCACATATAAGTGAGATCATACAATATTTATCTTTCTCTAACTTACTTCAGTTAGTGTAGTGTCCTCCAGCTCCATCCATGTCGTCACAAATGGCCAGACTTACTTCACCTAGGACTGCATGATCTATGTTTTCTGTATACACACACACACACACACACACACATATACATTTGCCACATTTTCTTTATCCACTCATCCACAGATGGACACTTTGGTTGCTCACTCCTGTCTTAGCTATTATAAGTAATGCTGCATCAACAATCTTTCTCCACGAATGTGGCTTCTTTCTCAAACTAGACACAGATCCGAAGCTCCCTGGGGACCAGTGTGGCATCTTCTGGTTTCCCCGTAGTTATGCCTGGTCAGTGGTAAGAGCTCAGTCTCTATTTGTTCACTGATTGACTCAGTTGGATGTATGGGGTCAAGGACCAGTAATCTAGCAGAACCTTAAAGTTCATTCACTCGAGTGGATTTTATGGCTCAAGACCAGTGTCTCTTTCAGAGTTACTGCTTTTCTCATGTCTCCCTGGATTCGATGGATGGCCTGTAGGAGTCACTGAACATGAAGTTGGAAAGTTGCTTCACCCTTCTTAATCCAGTGACTTCCTTTTTACAGATGAGAAGCCCTTCACTGTGGAAGACACTTACTTGCTGTGTCCAGCGCCTATCTTAAAAGAAGTTGGCATGTAAGTTTCCACCAGCAACTGAACCTCACTGCCAGGGAAGAGAGAGGAGGTAGAGGGGACAAAGGGTGAAGAAAGAGTCTCTCTTCGTTGTTGTCATGCAGCCTTGTCTAGACCTCTCCAGGTAATGATGACGGTGCCAGTGCTTCTGGTGAGCAAGGCACCAGGACAGATGTCTTACAAAGGGTACCTCACTTTATCCTCCCAAGCTCCCAAAGAACCAGATGCCTACGTCATCCCAGTTTTACGATGTGGAATCTATGGTTGAGCGAATTTAAGTAGTTTGCCCAAGGTCATGCTGCAGTAGCAGAAGGGTCTAGTTTCCAAAAAGGGTATGTCTCGCTGAATCACAGCTACATTTCCAGAGCTTACACTTCCCAAAGCCCTCCCACACACGTTATCTCACCCTGGCATCATAATTGCCCTCCTGGATGATTGTCCCTCCTTAGAGATAAGGAAACGAGGAAAGGAAGCTCAGAGGGGTCAAGTGGGTCCAGAGCTAGTTCAGGACCCCAGATTCAGACCTTCTGAGGCCAAGCTCCGTGCTCCTTCCTCTGTGCCCCTGAAGGGCATTGGGTTTCTGTTGGGTGTCTGTGAGAGGAACACAAACTCGCTGAAGAGAGAATGGCAGCTTTGAGGAAAAAATACTAAACATGCTCATCTAACTTCTGCTTTCAATCATTTGTTCTAATTATGAAGCCTCCAAGTCTAGTTGCCTGACCCTGGCCTTCAAGTTCACTGATTCCACAAACTAACCCTGTGTCCATACTGCCAAAGCAAGCAAAACAGAGGTTCAGGTTTCAGTGAGTGTCACAGAGATGGAAGGAGGGTGGAAGGTCAGTCATCCACTGCTGTACCTCCATGAGCTTTTCGGGATGGCAGCAAAGCCCCTCATCAGAATCAGTCACAGAGAGCCCCGATAACGACAGCGGAACATTGAGTTTATAGCTCGAAGGGTTTATGCCCACAGACTCAAGCCACGCTTTGGGGACACTTTTTCCCAGGACAGTGTGCCTGGTAAATGAAATGGTCACAGGCTTTACCCATTCAATGCAATTCGCTGCCATGTAAGAAGGGCTGAACTCAACACCCGGATACACCATCGAGGGTATCCTGACATCTCTCTAGAATGCTAGAGCATGCGGTTGGGCCCTGGAGGCTATCCTCCACATTTTACAAAAGAGACCGCTCAGGCCCCCAGGGGGGGAGACCACAGCCCCCAGGGTAGTTAGGAGCAGAGCCTGCAGGGGACCTAGGTCTCGGCTCGCAGCCCCTCGCTCCTCGCACACCACGCTGAGCGCTGAGCGTCTCTGGCTCCCTTGTCATTACAGGAAAGCCGCGCTTCAGGTCAGCATGAACGATGGCCTCTCTTTCATCTCCAGTTCTGTCATCATCACCACCACACGCTGTGTAAGTCATCGCCTTCCCTTTCCTGAAGGCTCTATTGTCCTTCTCACTTCCCTGGAAGTTTCCAGTTCTGCATTCTGTTCACTGAGCTTTGATCCCAGCCCTGCAGGGCCAGCTGCAGGCTGGACCGGGGGGCATGCCGGACCCCTGGAGGGTATCGGGAGGGCCTGTGTTGCATTTCTCCAACTGGTCCACTTCTGTGACCAAGGGAGAGTGAGACCTGAAGGCCCTGACGTGTCCAGATGGTAAGACAGGGCCTGGGTCTGCCCAGCGGTGAGCAGGGCTATCCAGAGGCACTGGGTCTAGGAGGAAATATGCAGAAAGCAATTGGACGGCACACGCAGAACATGTATCTTCAGGATTTTCCCTAAAGGGGAAGCTTTTCCCTAAAGGGAAGCTGGGCAATAGGGCAGTAACTAAAGGGCGATATGGAACATAAGGAGAGTCTCATTTAGAATGGCAGAAATTGCAGCTTGTTTATACGATTGTGGAAATAATCCAGGAGAAAAAGGAAACTTGGTGAAGCAGGGTGGGGGTGCGGGGTGCTATGCCATAGGGATTGTGAGGCAGGAGTGGGGACTGTATTCTACCCGCCCTCAGACATCCCTTCTCTGGGTCCTTAATGGCAGGTGGTTTTTATTTCCGGTTATGCATAAAACCACCTGCACGACTTTTTAAAAAGTGATGATGCCCAGGCCTCGTGCCAGATGAAGGGAAGTGAAGCCGGGAGTGGGCCCAAGCTTTGGGGGCTCCGGTGCCTCCTAAGGAGGCTGTCAGGTGTGGCTCTGGGTGGCAGGCCTTCTGCCAGCGTACGTGCTCCCTCCTGCTGGCAGGATCTCAGATCTCAGCCCATCAGAGAGGCCTGCCAGGGCTCTGCAGACCTCAGTTCCAAATTAACCTTTGTCTGAATAGTCAGGTATTCTAACCAAATGCATTTTTTTTCCATTGGATCATTCTAAAGGCTAATGTGTTTTGCCTAATGGTCAACTTAGGTGGATACTATGGTCACGTCCTTCCTGGGCTTTGGAGGACATGTCATGGGAGCCCCTGTGTAATGGGGGCTTGTCTCCCTAACACTGTCCTGGGGGGTAAGCGATAGCAGGCATGCACTGAAGTCAGACAAAATCAAAATGAGTCATATCATAAATGAGCAGGAGATCCCACCTCATGGTGGACAATTTTCCCTCTCAATTTGTGCCCCTGCACCAACCCCCACCTTCCACTCCCCACCCTCCCCCACCCCTCCCAGCCACACACACACACATTTCCACCCTGTGGTAGGAGTGAACCAGTTTTCCTGAAAGCAGGGTGAGCCAGTGCAATGAGTATAGACAATGGAAAAGTTTTACTTGACCAAATTAAGAAAGTAGGGTTGCCGCAGAGAAGTGTCACCACTGAGAAAGGTCCATGTCTCAGGCGCCCCTCAGTGGAACATCAAATCTAGAGGCCAAATATGAAAATCTTTTGGAGAAACAGTGAAATTTCTTTAAGTGTACCCCGCCTGATTCTTTTAGAAATTGACCCTTCTGGAACTTGCCAACCTGCAGGAAATGATTAAAATACCCCAAACCTAACAAGTCCATTCCAGATTCCTCCCTGCTTTTGAGTGATCCAGCAGTTCAGGCCTGTATTTCTCATTATGTATGACTGTACCACAGAGAAACAGCCATACCCTTGAGGCCACAAGGGCATGAGGAGGAGGAAGGGAAACGTCTCGGGACCAAACTTGTGGTATGGCAGCTACAGGACTAAGACTATGGCTTAAGCCCTGGGCCTGAAAGCCAAGAAGAAAGGGTATCCTTACTATTGTACTGCAGAAGGAAAAGAGCTCAGCGCGCAGTCCCCTCTATCTTTCCAACTCACTCCCGCCTCTGTTCATGTCTTATATCTCCCTTATGCGGGAGCTCATCACTAAGTTTTCTGTTCACTTGACCCTTGATAAACACCACCCCATTACATCTTCTGAATTATTGCCCTTTTCACTTGAGAATACTGTATGTCTGCAACAAAATTATGAATACCCTAAGATTTGAGATCCAGGACCATTCGTTCATTTGTTCAGCAAATATCCATTGATCACATATAATGTGCCAGGCACTGTCCTGGGTCCCCAGGATACATCTGAGGACACTACAGACAAAGCTCTCTGTCTAATGGGGAGGGGCAGAGGGAGAGAAGGCGGAAAAGAAACAAGAAACATAACAAATGAATTACACAGTATGTCAAAAGGTAATATATGCTACAGAAAAAATAGAGCCAAGTAAGATGACTTGGTACTACTCGAGTTAGTGTATTATAAACAAAGATATGTTGAGAAGGTGGCACTTAAGTAGAGACTTGAAGTTGATTGTAAGGCTAGTGGAAGAAGACCATACCAACCAGAGGGCCCCAGGGCTTAGACCTCAAAACCAGAGACATGCAGTGTGTTCCAGGAAGAGCAGGAAGGCTGGTGGCCTGTCGCTGGAAGAGAGCCAGGGAGGCGAGCAGGACATGGTGAGGTCATGGGGATGGAGAATGGAGGGTCTTGTGAGAATTTTGGCTTTTGCCCAGAGGAGCAACACAAGCTGACTTAGATTTGAAAGATCACTCTGGCTGCGGGAACAGCCCATGGGAAGGCAGGGATGGAAGGACCGTGACTGGTTAGGAAGGTATGGCAATATTTCAGGCAAAAGATGATGATGGTTTGACTCAGCAGAGAGCAATGGTGATGAGAGAAGCAGTCAGAGTTGGATATATCATGAAGGCAAAGCCGATGGATTTCTCAAAGCATTGGATGTAGGGCTTGAGAGGAGAGATGGCCAGCATGGTCCCATGGTCTTCAGCCTAAGTACCTGAAAGAATGGAATTGCCCTCAGTGGACAGAAGGAAGACTGAAGGAGCAGATTCGCGATGGAGGGGGACAATCAGGAGGTCAGTTTTGTGGTCAACTAGATGTGTGGCCTTGAGTGTGTTTAACCCCTTTGTGCATCTATTTCCTAATCTGTAAAATTAGAATAATAATACTTTATCTCTCTTTGCTGCATTGTGAATCTAAAATGGAATGATAGATAGATGGTAATTGCTTGGTAGAAGGCCTGATAGGGAGTACGTGCTTAATAAATGTTAGATGCTATGATAGTAGAAGCTTAGTCAAAAGTATTAAACTGATTGGAAATTCTTTCCAGAGAGCTGGTTCCCACTTCAGAGGCCTGTTATAGTAAAAGGAGTCTCTTGAGATAAGATGGATCCCTAGGGGTCCATGTCTGTCACTCAGCCAAGCACAGGTGATTGAAAGAAGGTAGACGAGATGGTCAAAATCATCTAGAGAAAAAAATGGGTCTATAGTCAATCATAAAATGCCAATACCCAGCAGGACCCTCCATAGAAGCTCAAATTCAAAAGACTGAAGCCATCACTGGACAAAATAGAGATGCAGGTGGAATGTGTGGCCATCCAGAGTATGAAGTAAGGCCTTGGACTTGCCTTTGTTTCTTCGGCAGCTGGTTTGGAGGACAAGGTTTTTAGATCAGAAGTGATCCCCTGGGTCTGAGTAAAGGGTTAGTCTTGGCCATGCCAGTCACAGCCTGCCCCACCCATCACCTGGAACCAAAAATAATTTTTAAATATGTAGTTGAGACTTTTCTTTCCTTGCTTTATTTGGTGCCCATTTGGACAACCATGTCATAGTTTTCAAGATCCACAATGAATAACTGCTGTTCTTTGCCAGGAGCAGAAATTCCATGAAGTTTTACAGGAAAGAGTTTTTTCCATCCAAGAGCTAAAAGATTCCTATACAAATGGTAAACTTTGTGAAGCTCCAGGACTCCAGGACTCTAGAAAATGGTCAAACATCCAAAGTCCTCTCTCACAGCATATGTGAATATGTCCCATCTCTAGAGTCTCAACTGGCCTTCCTTTTCTTCCCCAGCCTCTAGCCATAGGGGAGAAAATCAGGACCACGGTGCTGCCTTAGGGGCAATACTTAAAAGAAGTTTGCTTTTGTCTTGCAAAGCAAGCAGATGTCAACACCTTAAAGAATTTTTCAGGAAAGACGGTCTTCTTTTACATAAATGCCTTCAAATTTTGTAACTTTCCAACCAAAGTGTATAAAAATCAGAGAATCCCTCACAAGTATTTCTTGAAGTCCTACTGGGTCATCACTGTTCCATTTACATTTTACGAAGTTGTTACCCTTAAGGAGCTTAAAATCTGCTTAGAGAAAGGAGCTCAACAAACATATAAAGGACTATGTAAATAAAGAGCAAGATGGTGGGAGCCAGGTGTAAATGATCTAGGATTTCAGAGTAGGAAAGGAGTGAATTCAGGAAGAAAGAGACACGAGGGCTTCCTGGAGGAGACATCCCAAGTAGTGATTTGAGAAAAAATAATTTCAGGGGAAGAGGTGGGAAGAGGCTGTCCGCTAAAGAAAACCCAACCTGAGGAAGAACTAGATATCCCTGTGAGCACAGTTAGTTCATGCTCCCTCCCAGGAACCATAATTTTTTTTTCTCTTTTCCTTTCATTTTGTTTGTTTCTGGTGCCTTCTTAATTTGGGGCCATTTCTCAGGTGGCAACTACTCTCCCAGAACAGTAGTTACTAACCTTCACCCCGAATGTAACGATGAGGCCCAGCTGATTCCCTTCCCTATTAACTATGATGAACATTTGATTGACACTGATCTCTAGTGTATTAGAGAATCACCATCTTTGAAAAAAAGGAAAGAGACCTAAAGTTTGACATAAGGTTCTAAACTGGATCTGGTAGAAAGTCAAGTAAGATTAAGCTGCAGTTTCTTCACTATTTTTGAAAAAAAGAATTTCTCAGTAAATGAATCAAGTAAACAGGAATGTAAGAGGAATACTTAGACTATTTCCAAGAATGAATTAAAACAAGTAAAGGTTATGCATTATTACCACGTAAACATTCCTATTATTGAAAATGTTCTATCATGCCAAGCATGTCTGGAGATCAGAGGAGGTAACGTTTCATCAGAAAAGAAATGCAACTTCAGGAAGGCAGCTCA